TTGGGGGGGCAGGAGTGGGGGTCGTCATGTGACACACAGCAGCCGCAATAGCACTCGTTTTATTTTATTTTTTTCCTTTTTATTCAAAACATTCCCAAACGCATTAACTATATCATGAAATATCTCGATTCTCACTTATGTTAGTTGATCTATAGAGAGCGATGGTCAAAGTAGCCTAATAAGTCTATTAACTATGCATAAAAACCTGTTTACTTAAGTAACAGATATGGGTGTCATGGCATAACATAGTTTTAATACGACTGACTTTATATTTAATGTGAATTTAACATTGAAAGTTAATGTGAATAAAAACATTGCAAGTTAGGCTACTAATCATAACACTTTCATTGTACAGAAAGAGAGCAAAGAACATTTACATTATCAAAGAACATTTTCACTGACAGCCTAGAGTTCAAGCACTCTCAAAAACTCCCATTAAAATCACTGAAGCTGTTTACACTGTGAAATGAATATCTTATTTATACACACATCTGCACTTTGTTGTTTCTGACAGAGAATTCGCCAGAAAGAGGTTTTCAGCCAGCGAGCGAGCGAACAAAAACCTCCAGCATTTTAGCGATGACTAATCGGAACACCTCTGATTGGTCATTGCATTCATAAGCTCAACAGCATCGCGTGTGATTGGTTATAATGCGCAGTGCTGTAAAAACGCGTCTGTGTCTGGCTCAGCGCCAGGCAGCGAACGCAGATTTGAATTTAACAGCTGAAGATATGACGCACTGAACGTTCTAATCACGCTGGTGTGATTGTATCAAATATACAAAATATTATTCGGCTATTTTTTGTCTTTTGGAAGCTGCATTCAAAATCCACTTGGCTCAAAAATCTGAGGGGGCACGTACCCCCATACTTTGAACGGGCATGACGCATCTGCATACATTTAAACTAGATTAGTACATAAACTAAAGCACAAGTAGAAAATATTTGCACTAAAACACTGCAACATGCACTCATATATACAGTTTATGTATATTGTCATATGTAATGTAGCCTATATGACAATATATATGTTATTTTTATATTATTTAGTGACGTATTACTATTTTTTTAAATGTTACATTTTTTATTTCATTATTTGTTTATTTGATTAATTCATAATTAGTACTTTGATCCAGCGCAGTCCTCCTCAGCCATTTGTCGCGCACTGAGATGTTAATTAGTCTTGAGATGCTGCTTCTCATTGGCCTGTGGCGAGGGTGTGGGCGGAGCCCCTCGAGCAAATACTGAACTGATGAGGGTATCTGGCGGCAAGCGCGCGGTGTTCGCAAGGTGAGCACAGTGACGCTGAGGCGCGGCGGTAAAGCGGCCAAACTTCAACGGTAGACAGGCGCCACTCCATTATTAACGTCCTCAGACCGTTCTCATTAACCTCTAAGCAATTAAAATGCGATGAACAATCATAGTGCTTGTCTTACTGCTTCATAAATTAGGCAGAAATGATGCTCGCGTCAGTACTGTGGACAGCTGTTTTATTTACTCTTGTAAAAGCCACCATCCTGGACAGCGGTCCAACTGAAGCACCAGATGTGGAGAGCGGCTCGGGGATGCTGACAGGTAAGACGTCAAAATGTAATTAATTACTGTAATTAGTGTACCTAATAGAGTATTATGTTCGTTTGTTTACACTTCTTGAGAATAGCGCGTTACAAGGTGCCTGACTGGCCATTGTTGCTAATTTGGATGTTTAAATATTTTTTTTTTGTAAATGGTAAATCCAGTCTAACTTTTGTATTGCATTTTTAATCTAAGATGTGATCTTAAAATAAGTGATTGAAAGATAAACTGTCTCGCATACATAGGAAATGTTAACTTATTGTCTTGATGTTGAAAGTAAATTTTTGTAAATGTTGTTTTATGAATATGTTTGATGTTCAGTGTTTCCCTCTGGGAGCCGCTGTTGTTTCAAGTTTTACTGTATATAGGAGCAGGTGCAGGTACTTCAGCAATGAACTATTTTGTACGGTGACCGAGAAGTGCTAAACAAATCACAATTCTGAAAACAAAATAACAAATTACAAACGCAAATGCAAGTCTAAAAAACAAAATAACAATTCAGAAAGCACAACAACAATTCAGAAAACATTATAACAAGTCAGAAAACACAATGACAAATTCGAAAACAAAATAACAAGTCAGAAAACACAACAACACACATGTTAAACACTGGACAGTGATTGCTGCATGAAGCACCTCACCCGTTCTTGCTGTTTTGTCCAAACACGTTTAACAGATTTGTGGCAGATGTGAGGGCAATTAGTTCCAGCAATCTTGGGAGAAGGTTGAGGATGCCATCATCTCCTCAAACAAATGTATATTGAAATTAATTAATTTCTGAATTCTTTAAAATTGGCAAAAGGTTCCTTTGCATGTGCATTATGCACAAGCAGATGGATTTGACAAATGATGCTTATGTTAAACCTAATGTTCTTTGACTTCTGCAATTAAATTGTGTTTATGCTTGATTTGTACAATGGGAGCATGTTTAGTCAAAACTGGTAAACTTGCAATGTCCCCCAGGGCTTTATCAGCAAACATTGCAAAATAATCAGGGTTTGGGATTACTCACCGCTGAATGTACGAGACATCTGTCAATCAACGTATACAGGGAAGAACCAGCCGAAGAACAGCAGAGTCCTGGTAGAAAGTTCGGCACACACATGTTAAACACTGGACAGTGATTGCTGCATGAAGCACCTCACCCGTTCTTGCTGTTTTGTCCAAACACGTTTTAACAGATTTGTGGCAGATGTGAGGGCAATTAGTTCCAGCAATCTTGGGAGAAGGTTGAGGATGCCATCATCTCCTCAAACAAATGTATATTGAAATTAATTAATTTCTGAATTCTTTAAAATTGGCAAAAGGTTCCTTTGCATGTGCATTATGCACAAGCAGATGGATTTGACAAATGATGCTTATGTTAAACCTAATGTTCTTTGACTTCTGCAATTAAATTGTGTTTATGCTTGATTTGTACAATGGGAGCATGTTTAGTCAAAACTGGTAAACTTGCAATGTCCCCCAGGGCTTTATCAGCAAACATTGCAAAATAATCAGCTTTTTGCTTTCTCTAGTACCATACTAGCAACTAGATTATTATTTTTTGCCTTGCCCAGTTTTTTATAGTATTGCCATTAAGGGATGCAGGATATATTTATATCAATACATTTTTATTTTATTTTATGTTGAATATATGTCAAACAATACTGCATACAAATGTATGCATGCTCATTGCCCTTCTTGTAGCATTTAAAATGATTGTTTTTCACTTTAATTGATTGTTTTTAGACAAAATAGTATAGTTTTTTTTATTTTAGTATACATTTTTATTTTTTAAATTAATTAATTTCAACATTTCATTGTAATTCTAATTAATATAATTTTAATATCGGTTATCGTCTAAAACAAAACAATTATCGGCTAATTGGTATTGATCAGAAAATGAATTTGTGACCATTAGATTCATTTGTGACCATTACAAATACAGCTATGCATATATGTTATTTTAATATCAGTTGTTGGCTGAAAAAAGGCTAATTGGCATTAACCAGAAAATAAATTAGATTGCAAAACAGCTCTGTATAGATATAATTACACAAATACATATCACATTAATATTTATTATTATTATTATTGTTAAGAAAAAATACAAATCATGAAATATTCATAATGTGTAAATATTTGTTGTTAGTAGTATAATGATCTTTCAGTTTTTAGTGTGGCAGAAAGCAAATCTAAATCATTTTAAAAAGTGTTTGTTATACTGATTAAATAATAGCGGTCATAAACAAGCGATTTCGGTTGATCTCTATCATTAAAACTACTCAAGTTCCTTTATACTTTCTCCAAAAGTGTATAAAGCTTGTAATCTTAACAAACCACAAGGACTGTGTTAGGTACCAAACGCCTGTTTGCTCATGTTTCATCCAACTTGTAAAACCCAGAACCGCGACACACACACCTTGGGCTCATTAAGAAACTTTATTAGTTTTAGCTCATTTTTCTTTTTAATTATTTTAATCAACCTTCTGGTGATCTCAGCAAACCTACAGAAAGGTAGACTTGGCTTTATGAGCTCAGATTTTATGGTCAGACTGACAGATGACCAGGTTTATTAAATCCAGCTGAAGAGTGAATGTAATCACTGAGAGTCGGTGTGCTACAGCGTGCCATGAAAAGCCCATTTAAGCTCCACAGGTTAGAGCCTGACCGATATATCGTTTTGCCGATTTTATCGGCTGATGAACATTTTTTTACAGAACATAAAATGCTTGTAAATGGTGTAATTACGTAGTTTGTCCAGCAGAGCAAATCCCAGGTATTTTGAGCAGTAGGATTATAAAAAATATGTGCTAAATATTTAATTTATTTGTACAGGGGCATTTTTGTCCAATTTAGTGTCATTTTTGCTCCAAGTCCCTGTGGCCAGGGGAAGGCTAAGCCTTGCCTATGCTAAGCCTATGCTGATCGGGTCAGTCGCACAGGTGCTCCTAAATATTATTTCATAGTCGCACGCAGTAGTTTTCAGTCGCAAATTCGACTGAAATGGTCACACTGTAGAGCCCTGATACACAAAGAATATTGGCTGATATTCTTTATCGAAAAAAAGGGAGGCCTTTTTTTACTCCCTAATATCAGTATCGGTATCGGCCCCCAAAATACCCATATTGGTCGGGCTCTAGTTCAGACCGAATATTATGTCATGCACCCACAACGCCTCTCCAGGTACTTTAGCTTTATAACTAGCACTTGTCTTTGTGAGGTGGATGCCAGGTTATTAAAAAATTTATAGCTGTTGTGCCAACGCAATAAAACTGGTCGTGCTCATGTGGGTTATGTTGTTTTAGCGAAATCAAAACACACTGGGAAATGTGATGAAAATATGATCGCCAATGATTCTGACAGATGACATCATGTGAATGCTGCCCACCATGGAGGTGTGTGAAAAGTGCATGTAAACAAACTTTTCATGGCTTTTCACACGGCACAAACTGCTGCGATGACAAACACGAGCTTGGTAATCCCATAAGGTTATTTGACATCATACAGATCGCAATGATTTTATGAAAACAATTATTTTATATATTAGCCCTGTAGGAGATCATATTTGGCTAATGCTCTTGTTTTCCATAAAACACAAGATTATCACATGCTGGATAACAAAAACCAAACATTTGTCTTTTCCATTGTATTTATTATTAAATGCCTTTGAATTCAGGATTGTTGTGACTGAGGATAAAGGAAAATAGGACCATATGTTTCTATATGAATAACATACTGTAGCTAAGTCTTGAAATCTTGGATGAAGGATTGTGCTTATTTACTAACCAGAGTTTAATAGTTTCTTCAAGCCTCAGATTAACTGATTAACTTAAATGTTTAATAATATTATTAAGTGCATTTTTCTCACATCACATTAAAAAACTCTGGTCTCTGTCTTTCTATGAGATACTGTAAGTTTTGCACCATGTGACCACCATGTGATTGAATTCAGTGATGTCATAAAGGGATAGTTCACCAAAAATGAAAATACTGTACTCATGTGCTGAACCTCATTCTGTTTCAAACCTGTATGACTCTTCTGTGGAACACAAAAGAAGATATCTTTAAAAAATGGGGTTTTGTCTATGTGACCCTGGACCACAAAACCAGTCATAAGGGTACATTTTTAAAAATTGAGATTTATACATCGTACGAAAGCTGAATAAATAAGCTTTCCATTGATGTATGGTTTTGTTAGGATAGGACAATATTTGGCTGAATATCTGGAATCTAAGAGTGCAAAAAAAAAAAAAATTGTCCAAATGAAGTCCTTAGCAATGCATATTACTAATCAAAAATTAAGTTTTAATATATTTACGGTAGGAAATTTACAAAATATTTTCATGGAATATGATCTTTACTTAATATCCTAATGATTTTTGGCATAAAAGAAAAATCTATAATTTTGACCCATACAATGTATTTTTGGCTATTGCTACAAATATACCTGTGCTACTTATGACTGGTTTTGTGGTCCAGGGTAACATATAATGAAAATCAGTATGGACTAAAAGAAACTTGTTCATGTTCTTTTGGACCCCATTCATTGCATGGACAAAAGTAGTTGAAACATTCTTCAAAATATCTTCTTTTGGGTTTGTTTTGATTGCGTTAACGTGAACCTGCCAGGTTTTGTCCTTGTCATCTTGAGGGGGTTTGATTCGATGTTTGCACCTTTTACTTCTGAGGCCCCCTTAGTGCCTGCAGGCCAGTGAGATTCGTAATGTATTACCACTTACGTTACACTCAGGCAGGCAGACAGACAGCTGGGGGGAAAAACTATAAATCAAGAAATAGCCTAATCATCAAATCAGGTTCTTTGGTGTTTTTTATGTCCAAAGAGCTTTGCAGTGGTTGTGAGATTCAGATGGGATGTCTAGATATAAACATGCCATAAATATGACCATTTTTCTTGTGGGTTTGACACTCCTGTTGAGGCCTTTTGAGATTGTAAACAACGCACAGCTGACTGTAATGACACATCACGGGGTGCTTTGTCTCCTCAAATGGCTGTT